AGGCTTTGCATGCAATCATGCCTCGCAGTATGCTATACTATTGCAAGCATAATCAGGGGCATCAAATACCCGGCCTGTGTGCCGAGATGCATGACAAATACATGCGTGTTGGCAGATTTCTCACCGGATGCCAGGAGGACCTGTAAAGCATCCGAAGATCAGGATTCGCGTGAGATGACAGGTGAGAAGCATGGGCGCCTCTCCGCGTAGCTCCTCCTTCTCCGCATCGATCACCCCTCCCCGTCCGCTCTCCCGCCCCGAAGCATGCATAACCCGCTGCTATCTGACCCGGCGGCGTCTTCCGGTCCTTGGTACGTGCTTCTGGGCCGGACACACGCAGAGTGTCGCCGCGCATCACGCGCACTCGGTAGATTCTCACTGCTCTCTCACACCCGTCATATGCTCACCAACATCGTACAGGCCACAGGTGGGCTTAGGGCAAGATCCCGCCATCTACCCGATCGTAGTGTGCTGCATGCACCGCGACGACGCGGAGGCCATCGACGCTCTCAACGCGACGGTCTTTTATCAAACCGCGGCTCATGACGTCCATCTTGCCGTGTGGCGTGTACAAGAAGCCAACATATCGCTGCGCGGCGAGCGGATCTACAGTGTCCGTGCCGCGCTAGAAGGCAGACATACCGGTGTTTTCATTGGGGTCACTTGGTAAGTCGCTATCGCATGTCCCATGGATTGTATTGACAGAATCCTCAGGGCTCACATCGGCTTTCAAATCGGAGAGGGCGAACGGCACATCAAGCAATACTCATGCCGGTACAAGCGATTCGACAAGAAGGGTCTGTCCGTGGCCAGCGCCATCGCGTATATGGTTATGAAAACCGGGCACAACTTCCCCCTCGACATCGACCTCGACTTGCCCATCATCCCAGCCCCGCTCCGCCTCGTCCCAGCTCCCGCTCTGCTCTGTACTCCCGTACGCCGCGCGCCTCCCCACAGCACTCCGGCGACCCCGAGCAGAAGTTCCGTCCAGTGGGCAACTCCTGCCCTGTCGCGCGGGAAGCAGCGCGAGCAAGCGCTGCCCCCTTCCGGCGACGCGCTCGCACATGGTATGACATTCCATGTATTGGCATCACAATGGACTCACTGACTCACCATTCACAGCCTTTCAACAGGGTACGAGCCTACAGGACCGCGTGGTCCCATGCGCGCCCCGGACTGAGGATGTCGAGGGCTCAGGTGTGCTCGCCGCCGCTATCCGGCTGCTATTCATTCCCCCTGAGCAAGCCGCCGCGGACGCCCATCCCTTCGCAGTTGACCTCGGGTCAAGGGCGAAGCCCATCCTCAAGGAGCTTAACCCGGACGACTCAGAACTTATGTACCTTTTGCAGGTCTTCGCGGGTGCAGCTTCGCGGAAGGAGTTCGCTTACGACGCGTCCAAGCACCCTCGCTGGGACGGCGCGAGTCTAGAGCGTCTATATGATGCTATCTTGTATCCTTTCGATAACGATGAGTAACAATGGGATGAATGGTTTTACTCATATCATCACGTGCTCTAGTCAACAACGTTCCGTGGTGTTTTTTTTGCCCTGCTGACAGTCTCTCCCAGCTCCCAGATCCCCCACTCCCACACCTCGCTTCTTTTCCCGCCCTCCCTCCGCTTCTCATCGCGCGCTCCTGTCATGGCACGCGCCCGAGCAGACGCCCCCGCGCTCAACGGCCATGATGGTATCAAGAAGTTACCTCAATCCACGCGCAAGGTGGGTAAAAGAAGCGTCAAGATACCGTGGGCCTCGCGTCGACCACGCGCGAAGCTGTCTTATGCGGAGAAGAAGGCACTGCGTGAGAAGTCGAAGGTCTACAAGCAGACGCTCAACAACAGGCTCGACGCCATCCGGGATGAGGTATGGGACCACGCTGTATCGCTCCACGAAGACCTGGGCAAGCACAGCGCGGCGTGGTACTACCGCCTCATCCTCCACCAGAGCAACATCCGTTTCAAGGAGCCACGCGCCCTCTCACTGTGGAATGCGTTCGTCAGCCAAGAGCTTTGCGCCCACAACCAAGGTATGCCGTATCTCGCACACACGCTGCCATAACTAACGCCGATCTATCAGACCTGAACACCAATGACCGTGTGTCGTCTGGGTTCATCAAGACCCTCGCCGAGCGCTGGGCTGCGATGTCCAATGAAGAGCGCGAAGATGTCTCTCGCGACAAGGTCGAGGAACTGAACGAGCGGCGCGAGGAGCGGGGGCGTCCAGTGCCTAACCTCGCCGTCGCAAATTTCAACGATACTCGCGCCACACTCCAGGATGTCGCCAAAGAGGTGCGACGCCCCATTTACCCCCATCTGCCTCCTGCTGACATCTACCTGTGCCGCAGCTCAATGATCTCCACGAGCGCACCGGCGTGGAGGTCTTGCTCTTCGCGTGCCGCGGCGACCAGGCCAATCACCTCAAGCCTTGGGTGTACCGGACCAGCGAGCGACTTGAGGAATTCGTGGAGCTGTTCAGTGGCGCGACGTTGGGCAAGCTCGCTGCGCGCATCGAAGCATGGTGTCTCACTGGTATCAAAGGTACGCACACGCATATTTATAGTCGCCTTCTCCCACATTCATAGCGTGGTCGCACAGGCTTGACAAAGAAACACAAGAACACGGTCTTGGAGCTTAAGTCGAAGGTCGGTACTCTCATACTCGAGAAGCTCCGTAAGTCCATGCTCCCTCATTTAGTCTACATGCTCACAGCTATCCTCCAGACGCGACGTCGACGCGGGGTAAGCCCTCGGCGATGTCTTACCTCGACTTTGCAAACAGGATCACGCTCAAATATGGCGTCGTCCTTGAGAACTGGCCCGTCGAAGTGTTCCAAGCCCCTGGCCGGTTCAACTCCCTCAAGTACCTCAACACGCTCTATTCAGCCTGGGAGGGGGGGACGACGGCGTTCCGACTCCTCACCGACGAGGAGTTCACGGCCTGGCGTGAGGCTTACGACGCGCACCTCAGCCCAATGGCTGTTACATTCAGTGAGCAAGTCATCACACCCACCTCCGCGCCGGCATCCTCCCCCACTCCCGTGCGCCACACCTCACCTGCGCTCCCTGGTACGCCCGCGCCCGCGTCCTACGCCCCGCCCGAGCTCTCTGGTACACCTGCGCCCGCGTCCTACGCCCCGCCCGCGCCCCTGGCCTGCCCGCGCCCGCGTCCTACGCCCCGCCCGCTCCCCCTGGCCCGCCCACGCCTGCATCCCATGCCCCGCCCGAGCCCCCTGGTACGCCCGCGCCCGCGTCTTACCCCCCACCCGCGCCCACATCCTCCGCATCGCCCACGCTCCCTGGCCCGCCCGCATCCGCGTCCCACACCCCACCTGAGCTCCTCGGTATCCCCACGCCCACGTCCTCTGCCCCGCCTGTGCTCCCTGGTCCGCCCGGCGCGCTGTCTGGTCCACCCGCACCCGCATTCACCTTCGTGTTCAATGCCACGCCCGGGTCTTATGCACCTGCTTCGTCCAGCTCAGAGCGTCCTCTCGGTGCCGCTCCCGACCCCTTCTTCAACCACTTTGCGGGCGGCGGCGCCGTCATCCCGCAGAAGCCGCCCCGCAAGCCTCGCAAAGACAAGGGCGTGCCACGCGGTCCTACCGCTAAGACCCTCGCGCGCAGGGCTGCTGAACGTGCTGTGGGGCCCAACAACGAGAACAATGAACTTTGAACAATACCTACTTCTTTTATTACTGGCTCCTCTATAGTATAGTACATAACACGCTCATGTTTTATGTGTCTTAGCTGCTGTCGCTCGGAGTTGAGCCCTTAGTAATACATCTATGTCATTCTTGCCAAGGACTGATAGCGCGTGCTTCAATCATTATACCTGGATGAGTGATGGCTTCAGCCACTTTGATGGTGGAACAGAGGAAGAAGCATCTCTACCCCAATCACTGTTCTGTGGTGTGATACAATACTATTGTCTGTAGGTGCACAGAGAGTTTCAGGAGAGAGGGAGGGGGGGGAGATGTTTTGTAAGCTGGTTGTTATGCATCTAATCACTTTGGCGCTCCACAGCCATCACTACGAGGCGTTGAGTCTGCAGCGCCCGGTGCCCGGCGCCGGCGCCCTCGCGCTGATGGCGCGGCGCCCACGCAGCGCATCAATCATTCCCGCGGTTCCTGTCCATGCGGCGCCCGCACCATCAGAGTCCCGCCTCCCGCCAAGGCGTTCAGTATGCTGACATAATGTCCCGCCCTCCCCATATGCGGGAGCGGCGGGCGGTGGCGGGCGGTGGCGGGCGGTGAGGGCATCACAGAGAGCGTGTCTAGCTAGTGATTTGTGTAAATAGATGCGCATTCTTAATACAAGTACATACAAAAAACAACGGAGCGAATCGGACAAGGGGAGGGGGAGGGGCAAGGGAAACAACGAGCTCGCCGTCCCCAACGGCGAGCACGGGGGCGCGGGCGGCCATCACGGACGGGCGGCGCGAGGGGAGACGCCAGTGGGGGCGGCCATCAGGGAGCGCGGCACGGGAAGCCGCTCACGTGGTCCGGGAGAGCGCAGGGGAGGCTGGGCCGGGCCCTCGGGGACGTCGGGGACAGGGGCAGGGGACTTGCGCATAAGCCCCCGTTTTACCGTTTCCTCTCAGGGAATATCAAGCGTTATTCGTAGAGGGTCTACTAGTGGCAGGGGAATAGGCATTCGCAGTCGCCGGAACTAGTATCAGCCCAGGGGGGTGATGGCAGATCAATTGATTGCAATAACGTGAGGTACGGGTGCTCTATCGTGTTCTCCTCCCTTGTTCACGCTCAATATAGCAACCCTCCGCCCATCATGTTTTTCCGGTCTCCGACAAGTCTTTATTAGGTAAGTCCCAAATTTACATGATAAGACTTGTGTGCGCTCTCGGATTGGAGCGAGAACACGATAGACGAGGATGGGTAGGAGCCTGGGAGGGGGGGCACATTTATGATCCGCAACCGGAGTCAGGACAATCAGATCACGTGCACGTTTCACACCATCCGCCTCCTCTATGACCTCCACGAGTTCACGACTTATCCCGTCTTTCTTGCCTCCCGAATCATCTGTAGGCAGATCTGTCAGCTCTCCGAGACGCAATGATGCCAGCCTGCTGTGCCGAACTCACAACGCGCACAGGCACCGGTGGACCATCGTACTTCGGATTGTCCTTCGCAATCCAGGTCTCGCCAACCAGCACGAAACCATGCAACGCATAAAAGCCAGCTGCATCAGTCGTCATCACGGACGTCGCTCGTCCTTCCGCGTCCGCCTGGTCGCCGTGATCAACCACTGTCGCAGCTCCGGTCGCGCCAGCACCAACTCACCATCGCGAGCAGACACCGCACCAGCGCGCTCGCGTACCCTTTCCCCTGCGCTTCCGGCGCGGTCCCGAGCCCCGCGAGCGTGAACATCTCCTTCGCCCTGTCGCCCAACGCCTCCTCTTCCAGCCTCTTCATCGCTTCGACGAACTCGTTCCTCCGCTTCGGATGCATTTGGGCGTCAGCACGGGCACACCATGGGCTTGGAGCGTTCGCGCCGACCTTTCTGCACTCCTTTGGCATCGCAAGCCGTATGAGGGGCCTCAGCAGATTCACGAGCCATCCGCCGGGCGTTTTCTCCCCAGGTCGAGCGCTGTGGCAGGTCGCGTCAGCGCCCTTCGCCCGAGCACCGTCGACGAGCGGACGGCGTACTAAGACAGCAGCGCGTTTCCGTGGTCGACCGTCAGAGCTCTCTGCGCGCGCACCAGCAGGAGCAGCGGCCACCAAACGTGCGGCTTGTCGCGACGTGCCCGTATGTGCGGCCCGAAGTCGGCGTCCTATCGGTGTGACGCAGATGAGGGACAGCCTGAACGGTGCCGGAGACGAGGTGACCAACGTTAAAGTAACGCTTCTCGGTGTTTTTCTCGAACGCGCGGTACAGCATGTCTGCCGCTGTCCATGTTTCGGCTGGGTCAAGGGCATGTCAGTGTTCTGGCATTGCGCCCGGGTTAGGAAACGCTCACAGTATCGAAGGGGCTCGACCACGGGCAGTCCGTCGGAGACGTGCGGTAGTAGGAGCGGTGTTTTCTCGCCCATGCCTGCGACCGGCGACCTGCCGTCTGCTACGTTGATGGGCCGCAGTCGGGAGTGTTCAGAGTCGCCCGGGCTCTATATACCACGAAGCAAGGCGCCCGCGCCCGCGCCCGCTCTCGAGTCATTTGAATCACCTTCTCTAGACAGGCTGCCGGCGCAGGCGCAGCATGATGCTACTCTCATTTGTCCGCCAACTTTCTGCGGGCAGGACGATTGATATTGAGCGCTGATCAGCTGGCAGACCTCGAAGATAATCATATAAAGATACAGTCGGGGCGCCAGGTGCACTTCGCACACCGTCAGGATGCATTTCACTGCGCAGTACGGCGCAGCGAGGTCGAGACCCGTGAAGTGCTCTGACCTCTGCGAAGCGCTTGCCATCTAGTCCTCGAAATACGTTTGAGTTGTCGCCCTATGCATATCTGATACCGCTCGTCTCGTACATTCGATTCTGGGTTTCGTTGACTTGCGGTGTGCAGCACCGTTCTACACTGCAGGACGTGAGGGAGCACATCAAGTACTACAGCTTTCAATATCCAGGACCGCCAGGAGATCTTGCGGATATTCCGATTGGAAAGCGACGCGCAGGTGGCGGCGGGCAGGTCAGTCCCACGCGCGACGCGATGCGTGGAGGGACTGGCCCAAGAGAAAAAGGCCGGACGTGGTCATCGTGTTCGAGCGACTCCCGTGGCGCGGAGCTAAGGAACGGGCAGATGCACATATACATTGTTTGTTCTTTTACGACCCAGCACCACCACCGCGAATTTGGTCGTCGCTGCGTAGACCAAACCCACCGAGCACGCGCCGCGTCACATCTGCCCGCGCCGCATCAGGTTCCGGCGCACGCGCCGCCGCTCCCCGCCCGCGCCCTCGCCCTTGCCCCAGCGGAGGAAGGGCACGCGCGCGCGCTCGACGCCCGCGACGTCCCCGCCGCCGCCGCCGCCGCCGTCGAGCGTGCGCGCGTCGAGCAGGCCCCACACCGGCAGCTGCAGCTCGCCCTGCACGAGCACCCGCGCGGGCGCCGCGCCCCGAGCGGCACGGGGGTGAGCAGGTGCAGGCGCGCGGGCGCGGACGCGGACGCGGAGACGGCGCGGACGAGCGCGAGGCCGAGGCAGCGGGACTGGTGCGGTGGGGGCGGGGGCGCGCCTTGGACGTACGGGAGGGAGGTGGGTGGGGTGGGGCGGGGTCGAGCGCGCCGGGGTCGCAGGCGACGAGGCCGACGAGGGCGCAGGGAGGGCGCGGGGGAGCTCGGAGGGGACGACGTCTTCGGCGCCGGTGCCGGAGAGGATGATGCGGTCGAGGGCGGCGGCGACGTCGAGCTCGAAGGGGGGTTGGGCGCAGAGGGGGAGGGAAGTCGACCATTTTGTCGCGGTGAGGGATGGGTACGGCGATGTCGACGGGGCGGTGGGGAAGACTGCGTGGAAGTAGGAGAGGAGGTTGAGGTTCCGGTGGTCCGCGGCGGTGAAGGTGGTTGATTGTTGGGTCAGGGAGATGCACTCCAGCGTGCGGAGGGACACATTCATGGGACCATCGTATGCCGCCCGAGGGTATGTCAGCTCTTCGTCCCTGTGGGTGTCGAAGGCGAAGATGTGGAAGGCTCGACGGTTTCTTCGACCCTTCGCGCGAGATCAGCTCCCAGACCTTTCGTCCAACCCATAGTGTTCACTACGAGTGGAATGGACGAAGTGATACGGCCGTTATCATCTACATCTGACATCGCGTCTTCGTCCAGAGTCGCATTTTCTACGTCGAGGTGATAGAGCTGCACGAGGGCTTGAATGGACTCCAGGTAAAATGATGGTGAAGTGCGTGGAGACGTAGTCCCTGCGTAATGCGATGCATATGGGACGCTAGGATGCGTGAAGGATGGCCCTGACCAGACATTTTGGGATTCAGACGCATGCCATCTTGATATCATAGAGTATACTCACCAAAAACAGGGCTCTCGAGAATATGGATGGCTACCATCCCACCCGGCGTGAACTCGGACTGCCCCAGGTCGCATTCCAGGTAAGCCACACGCTGGAACCTGGAGTGACATCTCAGGGACGATACGCAA